TCTTACCAGCAGGAGAGAGGAGAGAAAGTGAAAGATGAGATATACTGGAGCATGCTAACCGCATCTTGCTAAAAATGGGATGAAAAAGGCATGTGATGGGAGCAAGTATTGGGACTAAGGGGTACATAAATAGGTATTAAAATAGTTAAGTACTTAAAATATGGAATCAGCATAACACATACTTGCCAGCAGGGGCGGCCCTAGACTAGCTGCCAGCAACTGGCGTCCTAGGTGAACCATGCAATCAGTGCCCCCACCGCCAAACCCCCCAATGATATTGTGCCACCATTTGGTGCCCCATTTAACTTGGCACCCTAGGCGATCGCCTAGTTTGCCTATATGGACGGGCTGCCCCTGCTTGCCACAGTCTTTGAGAACATGTGTATACCTGAATGGCCAACTCAATTGCTAATTTAGAGAGTGCAAAAATAATTGACCTAAAGTGTGAATAAATGGCTTTTATCACTTCAATAAAGTTATTTCATCACTTTGTAGACTGTTAAACATCTGTCAAGTAGAATGTATTCAAACTAGTGTTGCAAAAACGTATCTACATTTCACTCCTTTCAAAATGTTAAAATATAAGGTAATGGTTAGTTTCAAGGAGTAAAACTAATGAGTGAAGCTTTTGATTAAAAGGAAGACAAATCTAGGAAGCTTCAAACTTAAGTTGGTGGTGTCTCCTAGCAAGCAGAGTTTTGTGGATAAAAATAATTTTATTAAATTACATAACGTAATGTGTCACTTGATAATTTATGTACCCCACAGGGAAATATGTCACATAAATCGAAATCACATTCATACAAAAATATAGAACTGCAACCAACAGAATGCTTGATAATGCAACTGTGGATAGCAGAAAATTAAGTTAAACCATATCAGAGCGAAATACAGACAGGAAATGTGGGAGAGAGCAAAAACAAATTCAGCAACATCAACATACAATTTCTGCATGAGTCTCAGGTATCACAAAGACATACATAAAAATGCAGATGAGAACAAGAGATTATAAAATATACCAATATCTTCAAAGTGACTAGTGAGTTTGGGTATCCACTTTATATTAATGTAATTTTTAGAAAGCGACGAGTACCCATTTTTTGAAAGTTACACTAAGTGAAATTGGTCAGATAAAAATCAAGATTCTTGGGCTCAAACCATATGCATGAATGTTGTAATTAACAACATTATAGTGTAACATATATAAACTTTACTCTTGCTTTTAAATATAACCATTTTAAATATAACAGTAATTCATTTTAAAAAAATCAATCAAGAAAAATGAGTACTAAAATGGGCAGTTATGTGAATAACAAGCTTTGACATGTTTAAATCTATCAAACTGCTAGTCATATTAAAATCAACCTGTGAGACACTTTTTATTTAATAACACAATCTGAAAAGGCAAAAGTCATTTTATGATTTTTAATGCAGACCTCAAAACAAAAAAAAAAAAAAAAAACAAAGAAGCACAGAAGCTCAATGGTACATCAGAACCAATATAATCTTTGCTTAAAGATGATGCAAGTTGACAAGAACATAGTCTGAAAGAGTCCTTTTTATTTTGTAAGCAAGCCACTATGTGAAAATTCACAGACCGGGATTTTGTTTTCTAGGCAGGAAAAAATAACATTTCTCATGGCGTTTAAGCAGAAGGCACTGTAAAATTATCCTTGAAAATAAGTTAATGGAATGTTTATTACACAACAGGCTCTCTTAAAACGCATTCCAAGGTTTATCAACAAACAGAAATAATTCCAAATCCTATCTTGAAGTGTGATTTACGTGTGTAAAAAAGCCAACCCAACCAATTTTCTCTCCCATTTACCTATTGTATCTGTAATAAGAATTTTAAAATGCAAAAGCTCAAATGGATCTTGTACTTATGAAATGGAATCCTTGTAATTTTGATAACAGCAATAAGAAAATTTTGGTTCTCTGAACTGCATCAGAAAAGTTAATACACATGTTGTCAAAAGCAGGTACATAGTCTTCCTTCCAACATCATCAAAAACTTTCAGAATTCTAAGGTGCCTGACTGAGTTACAGCAATATCATACAGAAGATATAAATTATATATAAACAGCCATCATGGAATAATTACAAAATGTTAATATTACTCATGTAATCCTTTTTTAAATACCACTTGCTACTAGAATTACACTACATATTTTGCATTTCTAAGAAAGAAAGTTCAAATCATTACAATATTTATTTGATAGCATATATGTCACCATCATAGTAATTATCTGGAGTGTTGATTAAGGGATAGTGGCTAAAATGTAGTCTGATTATTGTCCTAAAAAAAGGGTAAAAGAGATACAGATATTTGGAAGAAATTATTAGATAAAGGGAGAAAAACTGATGAACCGTTACAATATTTTATTCTCAATACTTGTAGAAGTAAATATAAAATAAAGAAATCTGCTAGCTTACTTCATAATTATACTTCAGAGCAATACCCAGGTTACAATTTTAGTACTTTTAGGACAAGATAACTTAATAAGCACTAATAAGTAGAATAGATGCTCAGTTGCCCATTTAAATATGTATATTTTCATGCATTAACTTTTCTCTCTCACAGATATTTGTATAATAATAATCACAACAAGCCTTCTCACCACATTAAGCACAAAGCAGGGGCTAGGTAAGTTTCTAGGCTTCCAAAGGCTTGGCTTGTGGGCCTTGTCGACTGACCTACATCAATAAAACCCCTTCTGTCAGTGTTATAGAAAAATGGTTTAATCTGAAATTTTTTGAAGCTTACACAATTTGAAAGTTCCAAGACTTCTTTCCTGTTTAATATTAATATTCCTCTGATTCCAAATGTGCTCCGGTTCTTTTCTGAGGCTAACAATCATTGTGTGTGCTGATTAAATACAAGTTTCCTGGTTTACATGAATTGATGCTGAATTTCATGTACAACTGCGGCAATTTTTACAAGACCTAACTCGACATAAAAATAATAGCTGCACCACAGATCAAAAAGACCTGTAATTATTTATCGATTATTTAAATCTGATATAATACACAGTATTTTACAAAGGTCAAGATTGACTAAAGCTAGACATTAGCTTTGTTTTCGTGCCCGATTATAAGCAGTGAGTACTTGTACCTCCAAGCAGAAGCTTTGTTCATGATCATTACTTGAAGGCAAAATAAATACACGATTTCATCGCAAATCACGCTCGCTACAGTATTATAGTCTTTCAAGAACCTTCCGCAGGTTATTGATCCGCTCATAAATTACCTGCCGTTCAATCATACGTTGCAACTATCACGGTTTTCCTCCTCCTCTTACAAATATTCCTAGACGCCAGAAGATTCATTGATCCAGGGTCCGTGATGCGCCAGCAGCTACTGAAATACGCATCAAGTTAAAAAGAAAAAAGCCAGTGACAAGGGAGAGCAAAGCGCTTCGAAGCGCCTTCTCCCTGGCTGGCAACGGAAGACGCGGGCAGAGGCAAAGAGCATTGCTCAGCGTTGCAAAACGGGGCGCTATTGTTCCCCCCGAGGCGAGAGCAGCCAGCCCCGAGCAGGACGTCGCACGGGGTCGCGCTCGGCTGGCAGGGCCCAGACACACACCCCGACACACACACACACACACACACACACACACACACACACACTCACATTGTGTGACCGTGCCCTTCCGTGCACAGGCTGGCTGATGGCCACACATGCCTGCTGATTCTCACCCTCACAAACACATTCAGAAACATCCGCTCCCTCTTCCCTGCCTGCTCGCCGCTCCTGTCTGCGCCACTGGCCAAATGCCACCAATGAAAGGGTGACAGAGGCACAAAACTTGTCCTGAACTGGGACCGTCCTCCCTTCCCCCGCAACTCACTCTGCACAGCCAGAACTACAAGGGGCTGAGCTCTTCAGCGGCCTCATCTCGACTCAATCTCTAGCCTGAAATTAGATGCTCGCGCTCCATCCAGAAGCCACTGGCTTTTTCTCTTCCATGCTGAAAAAGTGCCAGGCAACTCACCGTTCAACAAAATAAATAAATAAAGAGAAAGAGGCACTAATTGGTGAGCACCTGCCTAGAAGGAGCGGGAAAAATACCAAAAAAAACCCCACAAACCTCTAGGAAAACAAAATGCACCGACATCTTTTTATTTTGTTTTTTTTCGGTAATTATACTAAAGATGAAAAACTCATAATAAACATCTCCCAGTCCCCACCTGCTAACAGTAATTATAATAGACTCAACAATAAATGGTAAAGCAGAGCAGTGCTGCATCTCGGGAATTCTCTAGGGTATGTGGATTAGCTCGGAAAGCCTGAATGATTAAAATACACTAATTAAAATTTTGTGTTCCTTGGTAACTCGTCTGCCTGGGCCCCTGGTGTTGGCAAAATGGGAATTAACGTGACAAAAGCAACACAGAGGGTTTTTGTTTTAAATAAAGAAGAGGGTGGGGGTTGGGGGGGAAAGATCTATATAAACAAGTTTTCTCCGCGCGCGCACACAAATTCAGAGGGACACAAACTCTTTGGAAAGACCGGCGCTTGTTTCTGGTGTGCGGGATGAAAGTGACAGCAAAGTGCTTCCTGGTTTCTCCCTGAATTGTGGAGAAGGGGCGCTCTGGGTTGACATGAATGGGGGCTGTGTGCGAGCGGGAGCCTGGCTGTTTTAAAACAATTAGAGAAATAAACACCCGGCAAGGAGGAGAAACTAGCGCGAGGGAAATCCAAGCATAGGACACTCTTCCGCTCTGTCTCCCTCATGCGCATTCCTCCATGGATGCGTGTGCCGCTGCTCTTTCCCAAAGAAAACAGGACTTTGGGATAACACACCACAGCTTCTACCCCAGTGCAGATACACAAAAGAAATTGAACACTTTTGGGTTGCCCTTAGCAACCTAATTGCATCAGTACATTGCACACAGGCCCCGGTCCAGTGACAGTGAGAGGAAGGCGGACGGCTGCCCTGGGGCAAGCCCCCCACTGGTGGGGTTCCGGCGTGAGGGTAAATAACAACAATCGCCCTAATGGGAGAGCCCCAGAGTCGCTGTGCTAGAAATAAAGGTACGTCATGGATGTTGTGCAGGGAGAGCAGGAGGCAGTGAGGGGAGGAGCGAGCAGAAAGAGCCTGCCGGAGCCAGCCAGGCCGGCAGGAGACGGGGGCGCTCTACTCTGCAATCCGGCTCCACACACACAAAGACTCAGAGAGCTGCTGTATCACAACCCCACAACTTCCGAATATTCTCCCCCCCCTCACCTGTGACATACAGGTGGTGGGGGAGGAGAATGGTCATCAGCTGGATGGCCAGAACAATACCTCCAGCTCAGTAAGTATAAGTTTGCTGTGAGTATTTGTCTAGCTGTGTGTATAATTCTCTGAATGGTATGTTGACTCCTTTTCCTACCTGGTTGATAACTTCATTGACAGGTGTCTGCTTTGAGGCATCATTTCTTGACTCCATGCAATTTGTGCAATACAGTGTTGTCTTAGAAGTGTTTATATTGTTCACAGAGTAAGATGCTGTTGCCAGATAGAACAGATTGGATATTTTATACTCTTATCTTCTTATAAGCTGCTTTCACTCAGTGCATCTTGTAGAAAAATTAGTAGCTGTAATTAATACAGTTTAAGTATAGGTGTGTTGGTGTTAAGCTGAAATTGTAGATGGGCTTAAGCATTTTTTTCCAACTTGAGCTGTAGGTTTTCATGACAAAAGGCCTAAGCCATGTCTGCATTAGCAATTTATCTTCCAATGCTGTCACTAATAGTTGGTTTAATGTGGGTCTATGATTCTAGACAGTCTGATATAAAAACACATACAGCAGTTTTCCTAATACTGTCAATTGAGACAGCAATATTATCCTGTCAGATTTCTAAATTGATTAGACCAGCTGTAGGACCCAGTCCTGAGACTTATGCTCATGGTTAACTTTATGTACATGAATAATACTGTTGACTTTAGTGGGGCTGTGTTCACAGAGTTGGGCATTGCCATAATATCTCATTGATGTTTGTGGTATAAGAATTTGACTATAAGAAGTCTTTGTAGGGTTGGTTTTAATTATAAAAACTAAATTTCGGATGGAGTGAAGCATTTTAAAATGCTGCCAAGCTGCAGTTTTATAATAACTTTATAAAGCACATTGCTGCTGTTCAGATGTGCCTAGAAAATGTAAAAGAAACAGAAAATGTTGCTCTTGTGCTTCTTTTCAAGGTTTGAAATTGTAACTTATCCATTTAAGTAATGTGGATCAGCGACCTGAATATTTTGCTTTTAAGGAAACTAAACAACTTACTTAGAAACTACAGTTGGTTGTTGTCTGTAACTATCGGAAGTTATTTCAACTTAAATTTTGTAATGATTTTTAGTATATAGGTTTGGATACCAGAGGTAGCTGGAACAATATTGAATTAGTTTTTTCAGAACAGCTGCAGTATATTGGTCAATAGTTTGCATTGAATGTCAGTGGTTATGAAGGAACTTTTCTTATGTGTGTAAACTTTTTCTAGTATTTCTAAATGTTTGAAAAAAAAAACATGTTGAGGAAATTGACACTATATTTTATACTGTTTTCATCACAGTGTAAAAATAGGGTTTGGAAGTGCTGGTTCTGAGGTAGGAGGCTGGAAAGATATGTATGGGCTTATGGAAGAGGTAAGAGGACATTCTGAAAAGTGACAACAGAAAAGCATGAAAAGGATCAGCAGAACTGGTAAAAGAGCTAGCAGTAGTAGGGCTACTGTAGGATTTTGGGAAGAGAAGCCACTGAGGAATATATAGGTGCAGGGTGTAGCCCCTGATTTACAGGTATCAAGGACATCCTACTTTTACAGCATAGAGGGTTCCTTCAGAGGGAGAAGATGATGAATAAATAGCAACTCAGCATAATTATTTAATAACATATGGTAAGCTGTTTTTCATTTGGGATGGTGAGGAAGGGTGGAATATGGTTCTTCAAAATCCATGAAATCCCGAAAGTTCAGAATATGCGTGTTAGAGAAATGTTGCTTTTTGTCTTCCTCACCTGTATATTCTTTATAATGTCCAGTTACATATTTGAGTATTCACATAGTTTTCTTTTGCTTTAAAGTGAGTGGGTGGAGAAAGAGAAAAAAAAAAAAAAACCATAAACAATGAGTTGTCTACTTTTCTAACACTCTTGCTAGGTGGAGAAAGAGAAAAAAAAAAGCCATAAACAATGAGTTGTCTACTTTTCTAACACTCTTGCTTTAATTAAAGAAGCTGTGCCTTAACTGTATTGCTTGACCATGTTGGTTTCTGAAACCTAGCATTCAGATTATCCGCTAGGAAGGTTTTTTAAAATGTTTTTACTGAACTTACACAGTTACAGTTAAGATTTTTTTTTATTTTTTAAGATTTGTCATTTAAGATGCTTTCTTTGCTTTCTCTTGATGTAAATATTTAGGTTGGATGTCAGTCTGTAAAGTTGGCTTTCTTTTTGCTTTTGGTTCTTAGAAGTCTGAAATCTGATTTAGAAAAGGTAACTGATGCAAATGGTGTTGTGGGCATCTTTTGCCATATGCCAGTGTCAGTCTCTTACTGAGTACCCGTGGTTCCTACTGAACTCAGTAATGTCAGGGTTTGAAAGAAGATAAATAGGAACTAAAAATATTAAAAATGTGACACATTCTTAAATCAAATGAAAATCAAAGCGATCTGAGGTTACGCACTACTTCATGGGATTTGACTTTAAACATTGGTTTATGTGGATTTGTAATTATTATAAAGTTAGTGCAGATTTACCAATGTAAGCAAGAATATTATACCATCCCAATGCGTTAGGTATTGTGGTTTTAAGTTTTATTAGATACTTGGATTACTTGAAACAGTTTCTTGGAAAATACTGTCTTTGTTAATGTTTAATTTTATCAAGATAAAATCATAGCCTTAAATATTAAATACTTTATTGCGAAAATTAAGATTATTCAAACAAATTAAAAATGTTATGGTCATGATTAGTGCTTTTTATTTACTGTTTGTTCAAAAAATGAAACTGAATTTGTTCTGATACCCTAACCTCCTGCTGTTTGGGTTTTCAAAACTGTAGAAAAATATATAAATTCAAAAAACTCAACCTGTCTTCCTTTTCTAGAATTCAAACAGATATTTTCCTATAATTTTTTTTCACAAAACCACCTATTTGTGGCTTAAACTGTGTGATTGTTTCTTGTTACAGAGTGTCTTCTTTACATGTCAGACTGTCTTAACTAATACTGATATTATTTTCTGTTTGTATTGTGATAGTACAAAAAAAATCATGAGCTTTAAACGAGCATTAGGGCCTATTGTGTCATTTGCTGTACAAACACGAATGGAGAGAGATTTGTAGACGCAAGAAACCAAGACATGTTTGTTTAAGATCATAGCTAACTTTTGGTTCATATTTATGTTCTCTTAGTCTTTTTTCTTCCACTTCTCATTGAGCTATTCTGATGAGAAGAACAGAAACAGCTGTTGATAAGATGCACTGCCAATTCTCCAAAGAATTCCACTCAATAAGGAGCAAAAGAAGATTGTTTCTGTTTTCCATTTGTGTATGTGCTTGTGGGTGAGAGAGAGAGGGATGACCAGTAGTGTAACCTCGCCAGGAAGAGAGGGCAAGCAGCTGCTCAGCCATGGTAGCTACATTCATGGTTCCAAGAAGTGATTTGGGTCCTCTGTAGTTTCAGGGATGCTTCCTTCCCTCTTTCTGCCTCCTGCTATTCTGTAGGTCTCCTCTTGGGAAAGGAGAAAGCAAGACTCTCACCTGCTCTTAGCAGGTAGGAAGCCTTCTACAGCAAACTGAAGTGTGTTTGAGTTATGTCTGTGACATGAGCATATAATTGCTATGTTAATACCCTTTTTGAATATATTGTGCTCTATAATTGGGCTTTAAAACAGGGATGTGCAATAATTTTTGATGGGGGGGCTGCTCCAAGAATTTGGTAAGTGATCAAGGGCTGCACTTTCCATGGTATTAATGGAGGAGGAACGAAGTCCATGATGGAGGTTGGGTGCAGAAGGGAGCTTGGGATAGAGGATTGGGGTATAAGAGGGAGGAGGATATGGGTATGGGCACAAGAGAGAATTCTGACCTGAAGGAGGGTCATAGGAGGGGGTGCGGAATGTGGGAGGTGATTGTGTCTTGAAGTGGGGGGCAGGGCTTTGGGTTGTGACCTGGGGCTATGGGTGCAGGAGCGGCAGTGCAGAGGATTTGGCTTACATGAGATAGGGAAGCAGTGGATTGGGGGTGGGGGAAGAGGTTGGGGTGCCAGGTACAGGCTTTGGACAAGAGGTGCTCTACCTAGGCTGCTCCTGCCACTAGCCCAATGGGACACTCAGTCTAGCTTCCAGCCTTCCGTGCCCATCCACGCCCCTCAGAGTGGTTGGCTGAAGAGCCCTTGTGTTTTCTGGGGAGGGGGAATGGGTGTTGTACACTGCCTGGGGCACAAGCGAGGCCTAGGCAGCTCCCATTTGCTTGTTTCTGGCCAATGGGAGCTGCGAGATTGGGATGGGGGCAGCACATGCAGCGCACGTGGCCTCTGCAGCCTGCTGCTTTGAGTGGCATGCGAGAGTGGGGCTATGTCTAGACTACAGGCTTCTTCCGGAAGAAGCTTTTCTAGAAGAGATCTTCCAGAAAAACTTCTGAAAGAAAGTGTCCATACTGCAAAAGCGCATCGAAAAAGTGATCTGCTTTTTCAAAAGATAGGGTATGTCTAGACTACATGTCTCTGGCGACAGAGGCATGTAGATTAGGCTACCCGGCATAGGAAAATGAAGCAGCGATTTAAATAATCGCCACTTCATTTACATTTAAATGGCTGCTGCGCTGAGCCGATCAGCTGTTTGTCGGCTCAGCGCGGTGGTCTGGACACTTCAGCGAGGGAGAGGGAAGCTTCTGGCTCTTGAAGCTGCTGGGCTCTCACTGGCCTCCTTGGTAGGCTTTTTGTATCACTGGCTCCTTCCCCTGGCTGGGACTGGGGGCAACCCCCCTGCGTTCCTCCTCCCCTGGGGCCGACCCTCCCCCTTCCACGCGGCAGAGGAAACCCCCTGTGCGCTGCCTTTTCCAGGACTTACCCCCCTCCTGGCTGCATGGAAGCCGTGCTCCAGATAAGGCATGGTAAATGAAGGGGCAGAGTTTGGAATTTGGCACCCCATGCAACTTGGCGCCCTAGGTGGCTGCCTAGTTTGCCTATAGGCACAGGCCGCCTGCTGCTATCTTGCATTTCAGCTGTGATTAAAGAATGATTTGAGATCTTAAACATGATTTATAGTTAGCAATTTACAGAGGAGTAGGATAATAGGTGACTTAATCAAGGTCCACA